AATGGGGATTCACTGCAGTAACAAGTCAAGATGTGCTCGACAGAAACATTTGTTTATTTTCTGCTTCATTTGTTTTTAATTTCACTTCATCATATTCGTTAAGTTAGAATGATCCGTTTTTGGAATTTTGTTTTGTATATCCTGATTAGTTTCATATATACGTTATTTTAAAATTGATTTGAATTTTCAGAAGACGGCTATATTTGTTCTATTTTATTCTATTCTATTTTTTCTTTTCTATTCGATTCTACTCTATTCTATTATTTTCTATTTTGATCTCTTCTGTTATATTCCTGTGTTTTCTATTCTACTGTATTATGTTGTATTCTATTCTTTTCTAATGTGTTCTGTTGTATTCTAGTCTATACTTTTCAGTTTTGTTCTATTCTATTCAGTCTGAGTAGGAATCATCATCTTATTTCACTTTTATACCTTACGGTATTTATTCCATTTCAAATTCATTTTCTACTTTCGGAAGATTGTTCTATTTTATTCTGTTCTATTTTTTTCAGCTCTATTCTATTCTTTTCTATTATATTCTGTTACATCCTTTTAATTTCTATCCTAGCCTATTCTTTTGTATTCTATTCTTTTCTTATTTTCTGTTCTATTCTATTATATTCAATTCTGTTATTTTCTATTATAGTCTATTCCTTTCTATTATATTCCTTTGTTTTCTATTATATTCCTTTGTTTTCTATTCTATTCCTTTGTTTTCTATTCTGTTATCTTTTATTCTATTCTTTTTATTCAATTCTATTCCTTTATATTCCATTGTATTCAATTCTATTCCTTTATATTCCATTTTATTCTGTTCTTTTCTGTTCTGTTTTCTTCTATTCAATTCTGTTTTTTTGTTTTTTGTTTCTATTTTGCTCCTTTATTTATATTCTATTTTGTTTTATTCTATTCTATTGTTTTACTTTATATTCTATTATTTGTACACTTTTAGTTTGTTGTATTCTATTGCATTCTTTTCTATTCTATAAAGCAGTCCAAGTAGGAATCATCATCTCTATTTCACTTTTATACCTTACTGCATTTATTGCAATATGTATCCATTTCAAATTCAAAATCATTTTTGAATTCTAATTTGGATAATTTGTTTTATTATTTTTTTTTTGGGGGGGGGGGGGGGGGTAAACAGGCGGTTTTTGCCACCTCAAACTGCCTTCCCTGATAAAGGAAGACAATCAGAGGTGTATACATGCCACAGCCTCAATGCTCTGCTTTGATTCCATAGTCAGAATTGTCCCACCTAGTTGACAACACTGCTACCAAACGCTAGTGCCTGCAGCACCACAAGTGCCCTGCAACTGTGTGTAATGCACAGGGGCGCAGCGTGGTGGTGCAGCATTTTACAGGATTAAAGGAAGTAGTGAGGAGGTAACATATCACCTCCTCACTATCAATTGGCTCTAAAAAGTAATCCACTGCAGATAATTTTTCAGAGGTACAACAATAACAGCCGTATGTGCAACCTTAGCCTATGACAGGGGTCTGCAACCTTTAAGACATAAAGAGCCACTTGGACCTGTTTCCGAGAGGGGAAAAAAAGACTGGGAGCCGCAAAACCATTGCAACATTTAAAACAAATCCGACGCTGCATATATTGCAAAAAGCGCTCTGGTCATGAAGGGGGTTTAAGGGCCCAGTAAGCAAAGGGTTAATCAGGGCCACAGTGTATCGTCATAATCACAATCATAGCCTTAGGTCAGTGGTGGGCAACCTTTTTTTTCAACTGAGCCAAATCTCGCCAAAACCACGATTGAAATTTATTTTGAGAGCCACATTTTTAAAACTGAAAATACATCCCCCATATAGTAATTCATCCCCCATATAGTAATTCATCCCCCCGTATAGTAATTCATCCCCCCGTATAGTAATTCATCCCCCCGTATAGTAATTCATCCCCCCTATAGTAATTCATTCCCCATATTGTGTCAATTCACTTACCTTTGCTCCACGCGTTCCTCTCGCCGTGTTCCCGCGCCGTTCCGGTCTTCAGGGCAGACTGTGAGAGGAGAGGAGTTCGTCACGCTGCCCCGCCTACATCCTGACAGCCTATGTTTGCCACGCTCCGCGGGCCGGATTAAAAGGTCCGCCGGGCCGTAGTTTGCCCATTGCTGGGCTAGCTGCAGAGTCCTGACTTTTGGGGCGGCCGCCCGAGAGGAGGGAGGGGAGCGGACGCCCGGCACACAGAAGACCCTATTGCAGGGGTGGGCAAACTTTTTGACTTGAGGGCCACAATGGGTTCATATATTGGACCCGGGGGCCAGACCAAGAGTAGATGAATGATGTGTATGTGTCATCCATAGTAAGTATAGTAATATTCCCCCATAGTAAGCATATTAATTCATCCCCCATATAGTAATTCATCCCCCTATAGTAATTCATCCCCCTATAGTAATTCATCCCCCATATAGTAATTCATCCCCCATATCAAGTCCCCAAGTTCCCCCTGTGTCAATTCACTTACCTTTGCTCCGCGCGTTCTTCTCGCCGTGTTCCCGCGCCGTTCCGGTGTAGCATGAAAATCTGTCTATGAGGATCTGTCCCCCTCGACGTATCTGCGCATGTGTCAGTTTCAGGCATTAGCAGCCGATCGACGATCTCCGGCACATGCGCAGATACGTCGAGGGGGACAGATCCTCATAGGAGACAGATTTTCATGCTACACCGGTCTTCAGGGCGGACTGTGAGAGAAGCCTGGCGGGAGCCTAGCTCCGCGGGCCGGATTAAAAGGTCCGCCGGGCCGTAGTTTGCCCATTGCTGCCCTATTGCCTGTCACCTGGTGGGCAGTGTGCTCCGGAGCCGCAGCCAAGGTGAAAAAGAGCTGCGGGTTGCCGACACCCGGCCTATGAGAATGCACATGTTGTGCTTTAGCAATATAGTTAGCAAAGCACTACCATGTGCTGCGGTGCTAATAAGTCCTTTTTTTTGGACATTTAGGTGCATTGACAATGAATGGACTGTCCTAATACAAGGTTTTCTAATGAAGAAATGCATGGTGATGTATGCATGGTAACACAATGCACCTGAATACCAAGGTGATGATGGGCCCTTAAAGTGTTACTAAACCCAGGACCCTGCATTCACTATATCTGGTCTCCCAGAATACACAGAACATGGAAATGCAATGATTTTATTTATACATGCACTCTCCCAAGAAAAAAAAAAAACCCTCTCTAGCAATACACACCAAACTGAGCATGTGCAGAGTGTCTCCACACCATATGTCTTATCAGGAGATGGGACAATAGAAGGGGAGGATCAGAGAAGTCAGGATCAAACAGTCTTTTTACACAATGCAGATGATTAACCCCCTAGGCCGCACAATGAATATAACAAGCATGCTTTACTGCATATAAAGACTGATTTTACTGTTGTGGGGTTAGCAACACTTTAAGTTTGTCTCACTGTAAAAAAAAAACAGTAATAAAAGTAGCAAACAGTTTGTTTCTGGATGACCACAAATATGTGTGTGGACATCAGGACTGCAGTAGATGCCGTTGCAGCCAGGAGAGAGAATGTGACCTGTGAGTACTGGACTGATTTCCCAATGGCCTGGAGGTGATCAGAGAGCTACTGAGAGCTGTGCAGTGGACGGGAACTTTCACTTCAATCTCCAGAGTTTCCAGACAAAGCTAAGTCACTTTTCTATTGAGATGTCATTTGTTTGCTCTCTTTGGACTTCTATGAAAGGGATTTGCCTATAAAACAGGAAGAATGTGCAAATGAGAAGAATAAAAGTATATTTTAGATAAGGAAAATAAAATCATTTTCAGGTCAACTGTATGCAAGTTTCATTGCAGATTCTAACAATTAGACATCAGATACTAAAATAGGTTAACCACTTAAGGTCTGCCCTATAGAAGTTTTACTGTTACAGGGCGGTTCTCCAGTGCAAAATCATGTATATATACAGGATTTTGCACTAGTGTCATAGGGGGGAGCGCGTGCGCCTCCGGCTAATTACTTCTGCTGTGACTCATGCCAGAAGCCGATCTGGAAGTGCCGGTTAATAAATGCCCGCCGGCATCCACTGATCATCGGGGCAGGACACCACACAGAGCTCTGTTCTGACAGGGGGGACGGAAGGATCATGTGTCCCTGCAAAGCTGGGAACAAGATCCATCGCTTCCCCTAGTAAAAGCACCACCTAGGTCTAGGAAATGCAAAAAATCTGTAAAAAGTTTCAGTAAAAACACACTAAAGCGAATTTTAGGGAAAACTCAATTAATTACCCAATGTTTGGTAAAATATAAAAGACAAGGTTGCGTCGAGTACATAGATACCCAACATGTCAAACCTTCCATGTGTGTGTGCCTGTGAAATGGCGACAAACATCAGTACCCTATATTAGTTTAGTGTTACAGAGGAAGTCTTGTGCTAGAAATATTGCTCTCATTCTTGCATGCGCGGTGATATGTAACGTGTATCGCAATTGACATTTTCACACGTAAGGGCCCCCGACATGTACGTTTGTTTGTACGTGCATATATGTCGAGGTGGGGGGCCTCCAAATTATTTTTTTTTGGGGGGGGGGGGGGGGGGTTTTGTTTGGGTGTAACTATTTTTTTGTAAAAAAAAAAAATTTTTACTTAACTTTTTCATCACATAGGAGACACAAAGTCCCCTATGTGATGATTTTTTTTGGTGACAGGTTCTCTTTAATGAAACAAAATTGTTGGTCTTTTTTGTTTATAGCAAAATAAATAAAAAATGCACTGGCGATCAAATACCCTGAAAGAAAGCTTCATTTGTGGGGGAAAAAAGGATGTACATTTCAGTTGGGTGTAGCTTTGCATGACAGCGCAATTGTCAGTTAAAGTAACGCAATGCCGTATAGCAAAAAATGTCCTGGTCAGGAAGGGGGGGTAAGTCCTCTGGAGGGCAAGTGGTTAAACAGTAAACGGCTTCCTTCCAAAATGGATAGTGCAGTGACCATCCCCCCACTCCCAATCACCATTGTTTTCCTGTTTTCTTTCACGCCTTTTAAATGCAATCTCTTGCACCCAGTGTAGCTATATGCAGGGGCAGACTGACCATTTGAGCACTCGGGTGCTGCCCGAGGGCCCGGGGTCAGTAGGGGGCCCCATGAAATGCCCCTGGTTCCTTTTGATAGGCTTTTTTTGGGTGTGCTTTGAGTGTGGGCAAGGACACAGTGGCCCCATGATCCCCTATTGCCCGGGGGCCCCACAAGTTGTCAGTCCACTCCTGGCTATATGTCACTTCATCCTTCATCCCAGCGCTGCTCCAGAGGAAGGAGGAATGACAGATTCCTGCCTGTCGGGTAGAAGCAGTCGGGTGGCTGTGCTGCTGCCCGATCACTTCCACAGCCCCCAGTACCAGGGCCCCTCTTGCCCATCTGAGGACCGGAAGAGCGCCATAGCGGTTGCCAGCGGGTGGAGAGGAGAGCTCTCCTCCCCTTCTTTCTGTGACCGTCACTTCCAGGTCACGGCTGTCACTTTCCCCACTAGAATAGCCAGGGATACATGTACTGCAACGTGATCTGCATTGCAATACATCCAGTGGTGCACAGAGGAGACATTGGGGGTCTTTTAGACTCTGCATGTCTCAATAAAGAGTCATTTAAAAATCAACTAAAAGTTATGATTTGCAAAAAAATACAAAAAAATACACCCAAGCACATAGCATCCCCCCAAAAAAATGTTGAGACCCCCACACACGTATGAACGTAAATGCACACATCGGGGCACCTACAGGTGAAAACGTCAATTGCAATAAACATGTTACATATCGCCGTGCACGCCAGAGTAAGAGCAATAGTTCCAGCACAAGACCTTCTCCGGAAAACTAAACTGATGACCGGCAGGGGCCTATAGAATATATAGGGTGCTGAATTTTGTCACCATTTCATAGGTGCACACAAATTTAAGGTTTGCCATTACTATTTGATATTTTTATTTTTTTATTATGTTGGTACTTATTGTGAGAACTAGCATCAAGAGTAGAGCTTTTGACGCACACAGCCACTCACTTTCTTCTTCTTAAAGGCCATACAATATAGGTTTCCCACACAGGGGTATCCACCATCAATGCAAATTTAGCAGCACCACTACTCAGGCTCCATGCCTCGGTCCTCTTAACCATTCAAATACAACCCACTGCACCTGGGTTAGCACCCCTTCACAACATTCTGGTTTCTCCAGCCCGCAGGCTTGGGCCTTCTGTCTGCTCTATCAGACTACACTGTGCCACCATGAACACTTGTGGCTGCTACCTTGCACCCACATGGACTCCTCGGGAGGGTGGAGACCAGAACTCTGGTCCTGACTCTAGAAGAGACCCACACACACCTGCCCAATCAGTCTCCTGGCCATTCCCAAAACCTGGTCCCAGGATTGGAGATTTCATCCCTCCCAAATCACTTTGAAATCTCCAGGCTCCAGGTCCCAAAAAGGACTTTACAAACAAATGAGAAAAGTGAAAGACCAGTTTCCTCGGCATTATATTATTATTATATATAATATGTACCCTGGAGCCCCTCAACCTGCCTTGTTGAGAATCCCAAGTGAAATATCCTTTTTGCATTGTGACAGATCGCCAAATTATTTACTCGGTGCAGTGGTATATGCAATGACCATTAAATGAAAAATTCAGCGCTCACACGAAATAGGATGGTGACATAGGGCATAGTGGAAGGAAAATGGGAACTGACTGTACACAGAATATAATGGGTATACAGAAAAGTTGCTGGGTGGAATGGTCCATAGGATAGGCAATTGGAGGCGAAGGCAGACCAAGGAACCAGGGCACCTGAATAGGAGTTGGCAAGCCTCGTCAGAGATGGTGAAGATCCTATGTGACCAAAGTGGTGGCAGTGTGAACACAGTTGGTGCGTCCTGAGGCTCATAATAGAAGAAGGGATGGACCAGAAGGCAAACGCCTTGAAAGGGACCGGCAGCTCCTCGTCAAGGATGTGGGGAATCCCTCGAAGACAACAGAAGAGAAAAAAAAATAGACGAAAAGGAGAGCACCCTCCTTTTCTTCTGCTCATTTACTCAATGCGAACTTATCTTTTATATTTTACCAAAAATTTGGGTAATTTGTGTGTTTGCCCTAAAACATTTTTACTGCGTTTCCTAGACCTTTACAGCAACATCGTGTGACCTCAATAATTGGAACAACCACTATTTTATTCTCTATTCAGCTGTCAGAAAATATATATTATTTGGGGGGTTTGTGTAATCTTCAGGCCTGAAGAAGCAACATTTTTATAATAAAATGCAGTTATTCTATAAAGTAAACCTATACTTTTCCTAAAACAGAAAAACAAACTTGAGGTTTAATTGACGCCTTCATGGCCTGTCCCTCTAAGGCTGAAAAGCATGTCTGCTGTTGCAAAATATGTACCATTGGTAAAAAAAAACAAATTACACTCCCTGCTAATCAGAAATGAAGAAAGATTTTTTTTCTCTCTTTTAGGCCTCATGCACATGAGACGTTAAAAAAAAAAACTCTCCTAGAAGCTGTCCTCCTGGTAACATTGTTTTTGCAGAAAAAACACCCGACACTTGTAAAAGTATCTAACGTTTTTACAAGTGTTTAGGAACGTTCGCAAGCGTCAATCGCTTGGACGTTAATTCATTTCATTGGCCAGAATGATAATTTATTATAATTTTATTATCAAAGGAAAACTGGCCCCCAAAATAGTAAAGGAAAAACCCTTTTTTAAATTTAGCTGTATATTTCTTGCTACTACCATAAGCTACCACCAAAGAACAACCCAAAATAATTTCTCCTGGCCCTGAAAATCGCAATGTGTGTATGTTAGTTGTTTGTACCCATAATACAGCCCAGAAACCATAGTGCGCAATTTGCTTTTTTTTTTTTTTTTTTTAATTCTGCCACTGACACATACTAATTTAAAAATGTAAAAAAAAAAAAAAAAAAACCCCAAAATAAAAAAAACAAACTGACCCTGACCTTGACCAAAGACTAACCTTGGCACAGACCTAGATCAAACCTTGATCTAGGTATTTTTTATTTTTTTAATTTTTATGTATTTATTTCATTTTTTTTTTCTCTGAAAGGACAGAGAGAGAGATAATGTATCTCTTCTCCATTCAGAGAGAGAAAACAAGGAGGGTGGGCTTCACAGTGACTGGTCACTGTGACAGTCAATCAGAGGCTATCACAGCAATCAGGTGACCCAGAATTGGGCGTTCTAACGATCGGGACCTAGAGCTCTCAGTGACACCCCGGGCCGTGCAGCGCGCTCCCAGCAGAAAGACATGTACGCAAATTAGCGGCCTCATTGAAAAAAATCCCAGTGCTATGAGCCCGCTAATTTGCGTGCGGTTGGCGTCAAGTGCTAAACACGCCTAGCGTTTAGACACGTTTAGACACGTCAAGAGTTTTTTCTGCCAAAACGCTGCTTCTCCTGAACGCACTGGCCCTGGGTTTTTTTTTTTTCCTGCTGATAAATGCTACTGCTATTAAAGCTTCTAAAAGTCTGTGTGCATAGCATAACATGGAGGGCCGTTTGGAAGCAGTTAAAAAAAATGCCTGATGCCCCTAAAAGTGGCTGAAAAAACACCCTGTGTGCATGAGGTTTTAACCACTTGCCCTCCTGAGGATTTCCCCCCCCCCCCCCCCTCCTGACCAGGCCATTTTTTGCGTTACGACACTGCGTTACTTTAACTGATTGCGCGGTCATGCAATGCTGCACCCAAATTAAATTTATGTCCTTTTTTCCCACAAATAGAGCTCTCTTTTGGTGGTATTTGATCGCCTTTGTGGTTTTTTATTTTTTGCGCTATAAAAAAAAGACAGACCAATTTTGACAAAAAAAACTATATTTTTGACTTTTTGCTATTAAACATTTCCAGTAAAAAATTTAATTTTGTCAGAAATTTCAGCCAAAATGTATTCTGCTCCATCTCTTTGCTAAAAAAAAATCCCAATACGTGTAAATTAATTGGTTTACATGAAAGTTTATAGCATTTACAAATGGCGGTATAGATACTGGAATTTTTTTTATTTTACTAGTGATGGTGGCAATCAGCGACTTACACCGGGACTGCGGCGGACATTCTGACACTTGGGGGGAAATGACTTTATGTCACTGACATCCCCAGTGACATCAATACAGTGATTAGTTCTAAAAAAAAAAAAAAGCACTGACACTGTATTAATGGCACTGGGCAGGAAGGAGTTAACATGAGGGCGATCAAAGGGTTAACAGTGTGCTGGGTGTGTTTTACTAGGGGGGCCCTGTCAGTGTGCTTCACTGTAAGCATACTGCTTTGGATGGCTGTGCAGTCATCCAAAGCAGTGTGCCTGAACTGACAGGGAGGAGGACTGTTATGCCATGTGCACATAAGAAAATCGTCCGAAACAATTTGCGGAACCAATGATCGAACGATTTTCTCTTTGTTGATGAGGAGGATGTTTTAAACGATAACGAAAAAATCCAGTAGAACAACAGTGAAAAATGTTGTCGTTTCGCATACGAACGACCAATTTTCTATGCGGTGGTCGTACAAAAAATTTAGCAAGCGCTATCACGCATGAGCGGAAACAGAAAAATCCAAATGTTAAAAGTAGATTGGCCTCATGAGATAATTAAACCAGAATTTTGCATATTATATTTTATGTATCACTATTTATGTATATAGGTAATGTAATAAAGTATATTAAACTCATTGCTGTAAATTGTTGTTTATATCGCTCAATCTGGCCGGAAGGGCGTGGCCACAAGGTCACACTCACGCTGCACCACTTCCACTTGTACGGAAGACATCAACACTAGGTATTGCCTGACTAACAAATTTTTTTTAGATTGGTTAACCTCCTTGGTGGTATGATTCTTTCCGTTTTTTGGTGCTGAAAGTGGTACCATTTTTTTGCATGGAAATATGCAGTTTTTTATTGTAGGCTGTAATTTTTAGGAATAACTCACTGAAATCTGTCCGAACAAGAGTCTATTAAACATTCCGGATATGATAAAATTTGAAACACGAAATCATAAATTATAATTTAATAAATAATCATAAAAAATAATAATAATAATAATAAATTGAATTCAATAATATAATCAAACCAAAAACACTGAAATTTGAAATACAGAGGCAAATTCGCACATCGCTGAGCAAAGTCGCAAAATTGTTTTCAGTGTCTGACGAATTTCCCCACGAA